GGCAAGCTCCAAGACCTCCCTTGGTGTGGGGAATGTCAATAAGGCCAATGAGACGAGTGGTGAACTCTTCCAGTGGGTTATCAGTACCTGCTATGATACACTCTTGATAGAGTAGAGTCTCGTGATCATTTGACCACTGGTAAGTCCCAGAATCTATTCTAGCTAGCGCATCCTGAAGCACACAGATCCCAGAAGGCAGAGAACCACCGTGTTCAGCAGGTTCCAGCAGATTGACACAGTATCCGTTGGGAAGGTCAGTAGTAACAATTGGAATGTTTGGATGGTTGACAAGAGCACTCAGGAAGAGATATGCATGGGTTCTGAGGGTCAGAAAGTTGACTGTGGTAGACCAGGCCTGCATGAGCTCTGTTAGGAGGGCTTTATGTCTAGGGACTTGCAGTGTGATAGGTTCAGGAATTTCTTTTTCTTTTTTTCTTTTTTTGAATCATCAATTTATATACCAGTGCATAATCACAGTCTAGTTGCTATCTATGTATATGGTGAACAGTAGTAAAAGAGAACTAACATAGGCTTCTGAGCTCCTGCATGACATGGCACAATAGTGCCCTTTACCCAAAAAGAAGTCTTGCTCAAAGCCAAAGCTTGGGTCAATACTCCTGGCAACCTAGCCAAGAGCAGATGAAATTGTTGGTGTAAGAGGCCTTCCCCTCCCTTCCTTCCAGGCATTCCCAAGCCAGCGTCTCCTATCCAAGCGGCCAATGCCCCTGCAGCCTAGACCTGGCTGCAAGGGTCCGCACACCTCCCCAAAGGGTCTCTGCCTAACTGTCTCTAGCCCAGGACTGCCTATCTGTCAAGGAAAGGTGCCTCCTCACCTCATCTGATACCCTCCTATGAGGGCTTGAAGGCAAACACGAGTGGGTTCTTCTTCAGAAAGATGCAGAGAGCTGGAATCCGTTTGACCAGGCCCTTGTGTTTGAACCTTGTGCAGTGGTCCAAGATGAGTACTTGACACTTCCCCAAAGTCCGGTCTGGACTCCGGTCTGTCCTGTTTTGCCAACTTGTGTGAATACCATTTGTAAGCTGATGGGAGTATAAATAGATAAAAAATGTATGGACTTCGACCGGACTCCTGTAGGACTCCAGTCTTTTGACTGGACTTTCTATGGACTGGAGTCCAGTCCAGGGGTGGAGTTCATACCTGCTGAAATTTGCTAATGTCCAACATCAATATTAGTCACAATGGGATGATTTTTGCAAGAACAGGAATAGGACTCCGACCGGAGTCTGGCAGGACTTTCATGGGACTCCCATTATGGAACATACTGTAGAACATATTTATTCACATTTATATTAGATTCTAGTCAAAAAGGTGAAGTACATTAGGACTTTCACAGGACTCCCACTGGACCTCCACTAGACCTTGGGGGAGTGTAAAGTTATGTCCAAGATGTGGATGAGGGTTCCTAGAGCCGTACCGCAGGGACAAGCTGTTGGCTTGTTGATGTTGAAGCAATCATAATATGCTCCAATAGAGGTGTGGTTTAACACACACCTGGCAAATCTGGCTGAGAAGCTGTTGCTTCTGCCAAACATGGTGAGCCATACACCTCCTTGGAGGTACATTGGCTGGATGGACTTGTTCTCTGCATTGACTAATCAAAGAAAGTTGTGTCCCGAATAGGTCGGATCCTGGAACTGGGTCATCCAGCTGTCCAGGCACTGAGTCATGACATCCTTGCAGACTTTGTCAAGTGATGTCTGGGGTTGAGCCCTAGTGTAAATCGGTGGCAACCCTCCCACAAAGGTATGGGCTGCCTTGTGAATACCCCACTCTTTGATAAAGGGAACATAGACAAAGGTGAGTTTTTTTGCTCACCTCCCTGATCAAACCATATAGAGAGGTTCTTGCACACAGCCAGGGAGTGTCCCTGGCCTGAGTAGGCAGACAGGTCGATGGACAGCTTTGCAGCTGCCATCGAATCCATGAAGATGATCATCCCAGTGGCCACGGAATGTGACTGAGTCATATATCTCACAGCTGTCCAAATGGTGTTGAGCTCTACATCTTATGGGGTCACCATACCAGAGGTGTATCTCACCTCCTTGACACACTCACCTTGGTAGTATACCATGGCTGCTGCCACAGCCTGACAGTGTGGTGCAGTAGGGACTGAGGTGTCTGTTGCTACAGGGACTTGGGGTTCTTTGACACTTGGTTCTCTCTTGTGCTTTCCTAAAGTTAATATTGAACAAAAAGAGATATAAAGACACAAAGATGCACAAAAACCTTCACCTTGACAGTATCAAGCATACTTTCCAACCCACATCTGGGTAGAGCAATCAAGCTTGTGGGTGGGACACAAAGGGTGGGGTGAGGCAAGACTATTATTGTATACATTGACAGGATTTCCAAGCACCCATTCACCAAGATTGAAGAAAGCCACCCTTTCATAGGGCCCTTCCTGGTGATGCCAAATATCTCCTGGCTGGAAGGTTTGTGTGATAGTGGGGAGTGGCCCTGGTTGGTTTATCCAATGTCAGTACCAAAAGTTATTGTGCTGATATTGAAATTCTGAATAAATGTTATACCTAGCATCATGAGGGGCAAGAGGAATCACTTGCCTACTTGAATTGGCATCAAGAGATTGTTTATGATGGACATTACAGCGAAAGGGTCTTTTTTGTGCACAGCCACCAGTGCCACTCTCTGCCACCACCTACCATCTTGGGCTTCTCGTGTTCCAGTAATATTTTTATCTTCACAAGTGAAGCTGTCTCCAACCACATGGTATCTGCACTTATACGAGTACTTTACACTCCCCCAAGGTCCGGTCCGGACTCCTGCCGAAGTCCAGCAGGACTCCGACTGGACTCCGATGGGACTCCGGTCTGTCCTGTTTTGCTAACTTTTGTGAAAACCATTTGTAAGCTGATGGGAGTATAAATAGATAAAAAATTGTTGGGACTCCGGCCGGACTCCTGTAGGACTCCAGTCTTTTGACTGGACTTTCTATGGACTAGACAGGACTCCAGGGGTGGAGTCCATACCCACTGAAATTTGCTAATGTCCAACATCAATATTAGTCACAATTGGATGGTTTTTGCATGAACAGGAATGGGACTCCAGCCGGACTCCGGCAGGACTTTCATGGGACTCCCATTATGGAACATGCTGTGAAATGTATTTATTCACATTTATATTAGATTGTGGTCAAAAAGGTGAAGTACCCCAGGACTTTCACAGGACTCCCACTGGACCTCCACTGGACCTTGGGGGAGTGTTAAGTTATGACTTATGCTATACAGTTGGATGAAATACTGTATCCTATACAGTTCATACAGAGAATCCAATACATCACAGCCATCAAGTGCTCAGACGGCTTAGAAGCCATATTCAAAAGTGATATACCTACTGCCTATGCACATACAGTAACCTCATAAAATATACTGTATTAATGACAGCCTAAAAAAACTAAGTCAAGGGGCCTGCCACTGTTGGAAAACTGTCAGGATCCTTTTAGTTATTTTCTATCCAAGCCATTGAGCATACAAGCATCTAATTGAATTAAGGCTCCAACTATATGTATAGCATACTATATATATACAACTTTTTATATGTATCAGTATTGGTATAGAATAATCTTGAGAAACAAAATATATGGTGCTTATACAGTATACAGTTTGCCCCATACCAAAAGGGTTTCCAGCTTCTAGGCCCGACATACGAAAGACTTTTTAGTTCAATAATGGATTGATGATAGGTTACTACATTGTCTCATGCATTTCATGGCTTGACTCTCCCAGGTACACCCAAAACCCAACAAAGAGCACGAAGCTAGCTTCCAAGGCCTCTTGATAGTATCAGTTGACTGGGCATGGTACCAACAAGGTTTCTTGAAGCCTCTAGCAGTGTCAAAAGCCAGTGAAGACACATACGGATAGTGGCGGTAAGGTTCTGGGAAGTCTAGTAGTCTATTTTGTCAGCAGTAGATATATCCCTGTAAACATTAACACCAATAAATCTATATACAGTATAACCATATCTATACTGTATATACTGTATATGTATGTATAATTGAAAATGCCTATACGTATACAATATGATTGGAGCCTTAAATTGAATGAATACAACCTCTCAACAAACAATGGATGGTTACAGCATGCTATCAGAAGCAGAGGTAAACTGTCAGGATCATGACAGTTGCAGAGATATCTTGGGTGGCAACCAACAAAGTGTCATGATCATGATGGTTGCAGACATGCACAGTTTAGAATTGATATTGGAGGCATGGAGTAGCTACAATACAGTTATAAGGTCACACTGGACCATCCCAGCTTCAAGCCAACCCAGAAACCATCATAATCCTGATGGTTTTCAATCAGAAGCAGAGGCACATAAAAAGAGAGACCAGAACCATCAACTCAATTAATTAAACAAGGTGCTATTAAGCAGTGTCTGAATCAACTAGCAGCATTCAGGTGCTGGAGAACGTCAATTGTGAGGATTACATGTTGATAGTTATTAAGCCAAAGGATCACTTGCTCTGCTGGCTCAGCCAAACTGTTGATGATAGATAAACACAACTAGAACACTGCAGAAACCCAAGTCTAAACACCAGAAGACAGAGCACTGGGAGTTAAAGGGGCACTTGGCAATTGCTGCAATCAATGAGCTTAAAACTGCTGCAATGCATTGTGAGTGCTTCTGGTCCTTCTCCTGCCAACTTTGACCTGTCTACTGGCCAAGATGACAACTTCTGCCACTCTGAATGACCTGCCTACTGTCAAAGAAGTCAGAGAAGCCATTTCAAACCTTTTCCTGAGGCTTACCAAGTTACCAGATGAGAACAAGAGCTGGTTGTCATATGTTGAGGAGGAATTGGGTGTACCTGAAGGCATAAAGATACTGGAAACACATGTAAGCATCAAAGAATGACTATTGACTCTTGAGAGTAGAAGGCAGCGAAAGAACTCAATGATTCAGAAGTCTTGTTGATAGGGTGCCTACAGTTAGGGCCCCAGACGCAAGGTCTGACAACAGCACCATAGCTCAGTGGTTAGAGCACCATGACCTAAGTGGAAGGTTGCAGGTTCAAATGCTGCTGGAGCCATCCTTTTATGCACATTTCAAGTCTAGCCTCTCAACCGGCGTAACATCGTCAAAGATCATATCTTGAGAGATGTGGGTTTTCTTGGTGGCTGTATCATAGCACAGCCAGCCTTTGAATTCTTGCACAAATCCAAGGAAGATGCAAGGGATGGAATGGGAGTCAAGGTTTTTGCAGTCAGACTTTGGTACATTGACCCATGCATGACATCCATAGACTCAGAACATGGACAAGTCTGGCTTGCATTTGTGCCACACTTCATACAAGGTGGTTTCCGACAGTGCAGACATAGGGGTGATTCAGGATTTTGGTGTAATAGAGGATGGCAGTGGACCAGAAAGTGACAGGTAATCTAGCATGGTTGAGCATTGCTATCACCCCCTCAGCCAGGGTGCAATTTAGATGTTTGGAGACGCCATTTTGCTGTAGTGTACCACAGACTGTATGTTGTTGAGAGATTCCTTGTGCCTCACACCTTCACTTTTACTCCCAAGTAGTTCTTCGCTGCAGCAACGTAGGTCTTGAACTTGTCAAATGCCTCACTCTTGTTTTTGAGCAAGTAGGTGCGCTTGTAGCAGCAGTAGTCATCACTGAATGTGATCCAGTACCTGTACCCTCTAGACATGCACGGGAGTGGACCATGCAAGTCACTGTGGATCTGACCAAGTACCTCTGTGCACCGGTGTTCTGAGACTTTTAGGAAAGGTCATTGGTGTTGCTTCACATATGTCCTTGACCTCCGTCCCTTTGTTGACAAACACCCCCTCAGCCAAATCCTTCTTGAGCAGCGTACTGAGCTGATCGATTCCGATGTGTCCAAGATGATCATGTAAAATGCCCTTGTCGATTGCAGCTGAATAGGCTACTTCATCATTCTCCAATGTGCTTCCATCCAATAGGCCAGTTGTCCCATGGATAGTAGCAGTGAAGAGAGGAGTTGCTGTCTTTCAAGAATTCCAGGGAGTCGTTCTTGATGACAACACACATCTTGCACTTCTTCACAGCAGTAAGGATGGAGAATAAATTATTTTTCAGACAAGGGACATATAGTACATCAGAAAAGACAACAAGCTCACAGTTCCCAGATGGTTTGAAAACAACATCTCCCTTGGCCTTTGCCCAGACCATCGAGTTATCCCCCAGCCTCACAGGTACCAAGCAGAGTCGCATGTTGCACATCCAACACTTGTGCAGCATCATATGCGAGGTAGTGCCCAAGTCTGCATTCCACTGAGTGTTAGCAGTGGTACCCTTTGGACGTCTACGAGGGGGACTAACGATGTGTGCGGTGAAGGCCATCTGAGATTCCTCTTCAGCTGTGTCCTCAGCCATGTTGGCTGCCATCACTTCCTTAGCCTTCTCCAGGACATCACAGTCCTTGGTGTCATGGTTGGAGAGGTTGGTGTGATAGCGACATTTGAGGGTCGGTTTGGAAGTGGACGATGTAGCAGGTGAATGGGACAAGGAAGTGGTAGGCTTGCGAGGCTTAGCCTTTTTCTTGCTCTTGGTGGCAGCAAGGGCAGCTTTGTCAGCTAGACCCTCAACTTTGTTGGAGAGGTCGGCTTTGCAAAGGTGGTTGAGGACATCGTCAGCAGATTTGATGCTGTCAAGATGTGTGAAGGTGTTGCAAAGGAAGTTGCCCTGCTCATTGTGAGGAAGGCCAAGGATGACGATGGCTTGCATCAGGTCCATGATGAGCTCTGGCGCACCATAGCCCTTCTTGAATACAGAGTGCCTGGTGATGATTTTGACAGTGGTCAGAGGAGCTGGAGCAGCAGTGGCCGGAGTAGCAGTATCCCCCTCAGCACCAGTAGCTGCTGGTTCTTCTTCTTCCTCCTTGTTTGACTCTGGAGCAGGGAGAGAGGATAGGTCAATGGATGTAAGGTGTGTACGCTCTGGGATGTAGAGTGGGAGAGCATCCAAACGGTCACAGATTTGGGCTCCAGCAGCTATGATGCGGGCACCATAAGAAGCAAAGCTCTCTGTATCTGTCTTGCGGATGGAGAGAAGCTCTTGGATAGACGAAGTGCGAGATTGGGCTGTCTTGGGAATGTAGTGCTTGATGAGAGCTGTGAAGGTGGCAGCTGGGTTGGTCCAGTCAATGCCTGAGATGATAGAGTCGGATTGGGCCATGTCAAGATAGCTGACAATAGCGTATGCGAGTGTGGAGCGTTTATCCCAATAATCCTTCCAATCCTTATGATCTTCACTTTTGTCTGGTTCCTCCTCACCAGAGAGGATATGGACGGCACGAAGGTGCAATGCTTCGTTCTCGATCATAGTCTTCCACCGTGCAACGGTGGAAGACAAAAGAGGTCTGGAGGGCCCAATCTGACGACCCCGAGGCGATGCTGCTCAGCAGACTCATTCCCCAATGCCTGGTGCTCTCTCAAACAACCTGATACTCCTGTAGGTCGGTCAGGTGGGGAAGGAACACCCCCAGAAAGCCAGACATCCTCACTAATGGACTGAATGCTTTTGCCTCCGTTTTCCTCTGTTTCTTCAGCAGCTCCGATGCTTCACCTCCATCGTTCTTGATGCACTTCACCTTGCGGGCCCTGCATGGACCGCATATGAGGTATCCATTGATCACTGTGCAAAACTCCCCCCTCTTTATGCACTTGAGGCACGGTGAGGCCCACATGCTGATCATGGAGATGCGTCCGCCGGGGCTCTCCTCAGTCGCTTCGTCTGCTTGCCCTTCCCCTTTGGCTTCCTCTTTGTATCCACTGCCAACTCTTCGACTTCATCTGACTTGTCACCCCCACCTTGTGCCTGTGCAATGTCCTTTGCCAACGCTTTGGCAGCCTTCTTAGCTGCCACCTCTGCCTTTTTCTTTGCCTCTGCCTTTTTCTTTGCCTCTGTCTTTTTCTTTGCCTCTGCCTCTGCCTTCGCCTTCGCTTTGGCCTCTTCCTGGGCCCTCTGAAGTTCCTCCAATTGCTTCTGCAACACCTCCTTCTGCTTGGCAATCATTAACTTGCATGTGGACCTGTCAGCCTTGTTGTTGTGGGTGGAAGAAGAGGTACTCATGGTGGTAAGAGGTTAGGGGTGAAGGGTGAGAATTTTTTCATCAAGTTTGATTGATGAATAATCAATGTGGGAACCACCTTCCTGTTTTGGAATGGACACCAAATCTCTGAAGACCTCAAGGGCTTGGCCTTAACAGGAAGGTACTGTCACATCCTGCAACCTCGGCTCCTCTCGGCACACACAATACACGGGCTGGAACACCCAACCATGTTGGCTGAGGTCTTCGCACCTCACCTCCTTGGCTCAGTCACCATACACCTTGCAGACCTTGGCTCGTTTCCATCCAGGCTCGCTTTGTCTCAGCTCTCATTCACATGTTTCCTATGGACTTCCGCCTCCGTACTTCTGCATTTCCATTGCTTCCTACGGACACCCAGCAGGTGCCCTTTGGCTACCCTTTGGCTGTCCTGCAGCTCTCCGCATTCTATAGTTCTCAGCTCAGACTCTTGTATATAAACTTGGTTATGCTCTTCTGTATTCAGCATTCGGATAATTGAATAGATTTCCTAACAACCAACTCTTATACTCTCATAACCTCGCTTTACTTTTATTCTACTTGGTCACATCCTCAAGGGACTCATTGTGTCGCGTTGGACCAGCACACGCATGCTGAGCCCGCGTCCCCCTTGCACACTGGTCGTCCGGATAGCTCAGCTGCCATACCTCGGCTCGGCTCCGGTCTCAGTATCTTACAGACTAGCTCATTGGAAGGCAGTCAAGCATCTCTTCTGCTACCTACAAGGGACTAAAGATCTCAAGCTTACATACAGAGCAGATGGAGATTGACCACATACATCTAAATATTCCAGACCTACAGCGATGCGGACTATGGAGGGTGTCTTGATACACGCAAGTCAACAAGTAGTTTCATCATGAAAATGGGTATAGGTGCAGTCAGCTGGTCTTCCAAGAAGCAAGCAACAATTGCCAACTTGTTGACTGAGGCTGAATACATCTCTGCTTCTACTGCTGGACATGACATTATCTGGATGCGCAGTCTTTTAGGCAAACTTGGGTTCAAAATGGACAAACCGTTTCTGCCTATGGTTGACAACCAATCAGCATTGAGAGTTCTCAAGAACCCTGAGCATCACAGTAAAATGAAGCATATCAATATCAAAATACATTGGATCCAGCAGGAAATTCATAGAGGGGCCATTGATGTTCACTTCCTTCCTACAAATGACATGGTTGCAGACATCCTTACCAAGCTGCTACCTCGACTTGCAGTTGAATGCCATCGTATGGCAATGGGACTTTTCTAGTTTATGGACATTACATTGAGGGGGTGTGCTAGAATATAATGCTCATGTCATGGTTTCTTTCTTACATCTCATCATAGTTACAGAGATTCATTAGTTTAAGATCAGATGATTAACATCTATCGTTTCATATGTATCATATCTATCTTCTTCACCTTCTATCATTCTATTGTTTCTATTCAATGACTACAATCTCTTCTATTTATCTTCATCATACATATCCACCCCATTACATAGCCAACACCATCAAATGATGGGGTGCTTGATGGCAACAGGGCCGGCCACATACCATGGCTGCCAGGAGCCAGCTGTCTCACTATTCGGGATAACACAGCTGGCTTGAAATCTGCCCCAGGTGCCAAGATGCAGCTGTTGTTAAACCCGCAACGATAACTCTGTGAGTGAGGAATAGTTCGATGGAATTAGTATGTGAAGATATGAATGATACATGTTGAGCGTACCTGTGAGTGAGGAATAGTTCAATGGAGAACACCCCACTCACACTGTCTACCTATATACTAGTAAGAACAATAGATAGGATATATAAGGGAGAACAATAGCGAAACTGGAGAGAACAATAGAGTTGTAGAACAATAGAAACTTTTAGAAGTACATAGAGATTCTCGTATATGTCAGTCCTTATTGTATAGTCCGTTGTCGTAGCTACTATGGCATGTGCATTGTACTCCAACACACCCCCTCAATGTAATG